CTCATTTTCTTTTTAATTGGATTGTGTTCTTACTACCTTCAGCAGAAAGTTCTCATTATTAAACCATTTGGCAAATACCACTTTAGGGCAAAGATTCCTATACCACGTTTCATGGCATGTTTAGTGAGAAATTAATTGGTATGCCTGAAAAAGCCTTCCATCGTCACGGAAGGAGGGAGAAGAGCTACTGACTTTTCCTCCTCTCTTAGCATTTCCATGTATATTCAAGGCTGCAACAATTCTAACAAAAAACTTTCTTATCTTTATAAGCTAGTGTTTCTCCAAACTTATTGCTCACAAAACTATTTTTTCAAGGAAGAGTTATTAACATCATACAGAACGTTACTGTTCTGAGGAACATGGCTTGGACAAACGCTACTCTGGGGAATTTTGCGACTGGTAAAATTTTAAAATTCCAGTTAGTTAACATAGAGCGTAATATTAGTTTCAGGCGCACAATATAGTGATTCAACACTTACATACAGCATCCGGTTCTCACCACAAGTGCACTCCTTAATCCCCATCACCTATTTTACCCATCTCCCCCATCCACCTCCCCTCTGGTAACCAGCAGTTTGCTGTCTACAGTTAAGAGTCTGTTTCTTGAACTTTCTCTTTCTCTCTCTCTCTCTCCTTTTCCCCCTCTGCTTGCTTATTTTGTTTCTCCTAGCATAATACTCTCTAGCTCCATCCATGTGGTTGCAAATGGTATGATTTCACAGAACTGGTGAAATATTAAGACAACTCTAAGTTCTTTTCACTGTTACAGAAAGATTTCTACCTTTATTCAAATATATAGTTATCCTTGGTTATGTAAAATTTAGAACAGAAGCTCAGAGAACTGAGAAAACTGACACACAAAAAGAGCTTAAATTCTTTTTCTAAAAGGTTTTAAATTCTTGAAGATGCAGGATGGACAATTTTCAGAGTATTATGCCAATAAATACTAGAGTACTTTCTTCATATTGACATATGAAGACATGGACACTGTACTTCCCACTATATATTCTAATATATGTATATATTCCAATATACGTATAAATGCTGAGTGTGATTAAAATTATATAAAATATAGTTAATTATATATATAACGTTATATAATTTTTAAAAATCAAGGTATTAGAATTTCTCTCTTTCCTTGGTTTCAGTTGCCAAAGACAATGAGAAGTAGTAGAATATCGGAACTCTTGGCTGGCTCAGTTCATGTAGCATGCAACTCTTGATCTGGTCACGAGTTTGAGTTCCACGTAGGGGGTAGAGATTACCTAAGATCTTTTTTTTAAAAAGTGGTAGAATATTAAAGCTGGAATTAAAGGCAAGCTAGTATCTAGCAATGGATAAGGGTCATATTTTTACAATGTTTTTCTCTTCTCATTTCTCTCAGATCTAAGATAAAAGAAACAACTTCTTTAACAAGTAGAGATTGGGCCACCAAGAAGAAACACTGAATACTTTTCTTGAGTAAAAGCCTTCCTCTCTCTATTGATAAAAAACAAAGACAGCTGGTAATGTAATTTTCAAAGGGGAATGTGTGTGTGTGTGTGTGTGTGTGAGAGAGAGAGAGAGAGAGAGAGAGAGAGAGAGAGAGAGAGAGAGAGAGAGACAGAGAGAGATGGACAGAGAAGGAGAGAAATGGAGAGGGAGAATAAGAGAGACAGGGATGGTGAGCATGTTTAGGGGTACAATTACTGCCTCATCTTCCTTTCTCAATTTCTAAGTCTCAAAGACTTATTATTATTCCTAGTAACCTGGAAGCCAATTAAACATCAATTCAAATTCATTTACTATGATCTTAGTGGTATCTTTTTCAAACATATTTTTTTTAAAATTTATTTCTAGGAGACAGAGAGACAGCGTGAGCAGGGGAGGGTCAGAGAGAGAGGGAGACACAGAATCCGAAGCAGGCTCCAGGCTCTGAGCCGGCAGTCAGCACAGAGCCCGACGTGGGGCTCGAACCCACGAACCGCGAGATCGTGACCTAAGCGAAAGTCAGACGCTTAACCAACTAAGCCACCCAGGTGCCCCTTCAAACATATTTTTATTAGTTTTAGGGGAAAAACTGTTTTGCTTTCACTGAAAACAATGTAATGGCAAGTAAATGACTTGGGAAATGCCCTGCCTCAAATATGGGTTTGATGGGGCACCCAGTTTCTGGAGATTTCTAGTCGTCAGTGTGGCAGCACATAGCAAAAGCCTTACAAATGTAAACATCCTTTTACAGAGAAGTTCTGTAGGAATTTATCTTGTAGGGAGGATAGGAGATGTTTACAAAGGTGTGTAAAGGATGTTAGTCACAATGCTGGACAGAACAGTGAGAAATCTGAAATAACTTTACTACTGAGTAACTGAGAATTGTCTTGGTAAATCTGGTACAGCCAGACAAGAGAATACTGCCCAGCCATTTAAAAAATTACTCTGTGGAGTAATATTTAAGCACACACAAATATTTTTATTATAGTTCTAAGGGAAAAAAGCAGGTCATAAAATGTTAATGTGTTTTTATCCCGTTTGGTTTAAAAGACGAGAGGAGAATCTGAATTCGCCCACATACGTGCACCCCTGAGAGAAAGACAGCAAGTACATAAAGCACAATTTTTATCATGGTTATCTCCAAGTGGTGGGATTAAGGGTAATTTTTTTTTTCCTGTTTGTACTCTCTGCTTTTCAAAATTTCCTAGAGAGGCATTTATTACCTCTATAATTAAAAAAAAAAAAAAGACAGGGGCGCCTGGGTGGCTCAGTCAGTTAAGTGTCCAACTCTTGATCTCAGCTCAGGTCTTGATCTCAGGGTTGTGAGTTTGAAAAATAAAAAATAAAATAAAAATAAAAAAAGACAACACAAAGCAACAGCCTTCAATTAGTCTTTTGTTTCACAGTCCTATTTCTCAAATATCCCTTAAACTGAACTGGTAGTGTCTGCTATCCACAGTCGAATCTTCTAAGCGTATCTTGATATTCCACATGAGTAAGAAATTGGTGGCTTCTGGGGCTGGCTCCATTTAAGCAGGGAAAGCAATGTCTTTATGAGCATCTGTGTCTACTAGCCTGACCTTTCTGGAAGCAGGCATTGGTGTGATACTGTTTAAAAAGTGTTAAGGATGCTCCACCTGGCTCTTGCAAGTACTTCCCTCACAGCTCAGAGACTGTGGATGACGTTCTACTCGCAGAGAGTCATTCCTCAGGCTTATGGCTTTTCACCCTATTAAAATGCAAATAACCCAGGAGAAGTACACATTAAACTTTACCTGTCACCTGGGTTAAATAACATCATTTTCTGAGAAGAGGTTTTAATGGGGAAGACATGGGAATGTGGGTGGGGCAGGGAGAGAGAAAAAGGGATGAATAAATACACAGGATGTTTGAGGAGTAATGAATATTCATAATAGTAATATTTTTGTTTATGGCTTATGAGTCACTTACAAATATGTTATTGCATTTAATCTCAATGAAATCGAAGAGAATGGCAGTCACCAAGGCTACTTAAGCAGACCAGAGATTTGGAAAAATACAGAAGATAAAATCTGTACACTTCGTAATTATGCTAGAGGCATTCCTAGAAGCCACAATTCCACTTAATTGTGTAAGCTCCTTTAACTTGCCCCTGCTTCTTTGGGCCCTTCCTAAGCATGTGTAATACTGTCCAGATAATGACTGCATGCACAGAGTAAGGTTAGACCCAGTCAAGAAAGTAAGACAACTTCTTACTTAGTACATTATGTGTGTGTAACAAAAAGACAGGACCGCCACCTTCTAGGAACTTTTGTTCAAAAAGACAATAGCCCAATGGAGACACAATGAAAGCATCCAGTCAAATACTTGAAAATGTGAGCAAAGATATTTTTCCTAACCTATGGAAAATGGAAGGGAAAGGAAAGGAAAGGACCAGAAAATGGCAACAAAAGAAGGCAGCAGAGGATGAAGGGAGATCATACAGAATCCCTTCCTGTCTATAAAATACATAAACTAAGTAAATAACAGTCCAGTGTGTCAGTTAAAGCAGACTCTGGAGCCCACTTGGTTTTGAATCCTGGCTCTGTGGGACTGCGTGCCTCAACTTTCCCATCTTTAAAATGGGTATAATTATGGTATCTACCTTAAGGGGTGGTAATGAGGATTAAATTAGTTCATATTTGTAACATTGCCAGGTGCAAAGTAATTGCCTTAAAATGATGATGAAGCCCTTATACATACTCATGTATGAGAAGAAATATGCCAAAGTGTTAACAGATGTTAACTCCATGTGGGAGCAGTATGGTTTTTTAAATAGAAAAAAAATCCTCAAAATACACATTTTTGTAATCAAAGAAAGAGGCGTAGAAATTAATAACATGAATCAGAGGAAAACAGAGCTTGACAATGTCATATGTAATGGTGTATTAATGGGAAGGTCCAATAGTAAACCCTCAGTTAACTAAGGCTGTTCCTCTTAGTATTTATTTTAAAACATGTATTTATCAATAATACATATGGGTAGTATAATTAATGATACAAATATAATTAATATAAAATTAAAAATAGGAAAACTAAAAGAAGAAGGAATAGTGGTCAGGGATAAAAGAGCGGTAAGAATGGTTAGGGAAAGGAAACATAATAGGGAGTGTTTCCAACTTGGAGGCAGGAAGTATTTAATGAATTATGTAGAGCTAAAGAATTATAGATTCCTAGTAACACATACTGAATTATCCTATCATAATTATACAGCATCATAATTATCAGCTTATGAAGTGAACTGCTATAAGCAGAACTAAAGACTCAAAAATATTACCAAAGTTAGCACTTGAGCACATATCGCAGGAAACAATTATGCATTAGCTGAAGCCTGGGCAAAATGATCTAATCAGTCCTCCTCTCCTAATCCTCTGAATTTTCCCACCAAGGTGTATTTCAGGATGAGTTATGCCTCCAGTGCACTTGGCAGAGATGATGGTAATTCGGCTCTTCATTCCTTGCTACCAAGATGCAATGAAGACATTAAACAATGAAAGGTGACAGTGACTTACTGGAAAGGAAGTGCTGGGACGCGGGGCCAAAATCCCGGTGGGCTTCGTGCAGCTGCCTGATGCGGTCCTCAACAGCCACCTGGGAGGAAGAGGAGAGAAATGATGTCCTCTCATCAGATATAATGAGGAGCAATGAAAATGATGTACCCTCTTTGGTCAGATCTTTTGGGCCCGGAAAGCTGGAACATTAAAGTAGCAATTTATAACCCCATTTTTTAAAACAGATTTTTTAATGTTTAGTTATTTTGAGAGAGAGAGAGAGAGAGAGAGCACGAGTGTGCGTGTGTGTGCGAGGAGGGGAGGGGCAGGGAGAGAGGGAGAGAGAGAATCCCAAGAGAATCCCAAGTAGCCTCCATGCAGTCAGAGCAGGGCTTGATCTTACAACCATGAGACCATGGCCTGAACCAAAATCAAGAGTACGATGCTTAACTGACTGAGCCACCCAGGCGCTCCTATAGCCCCCCAAGAGCCATTTTTATCAAACCAACGCCAAACAAAAAAAAATTTGCTTTCTTGGTAATGTTAAAATGAGATTTTTTCACACTCTGCTCACTGGCAGACACCAATGAACTCCTGCTCCCATGAGCATCACAAGTGCCACCTCTAAAACTTTCATGCCAAGATTAGAGAGGTTGTCATTCCTTCATATACTAGATAAGGATTTCAGGAATGGCATATATTTTGTCTTAGTCTATTGTTTTTGACTAATGTTTTTGGGAGTCCTGTTGATAGTTAATGGATCATTGAGAATTAACGAGTAACCAACAGTTGATTAATACTTAAGCATCAAAGAAGTAAAGGCAAGGCTTAAATACAGGGTAATTACAAAGGAGATAATGAGATCAAAGACATTTTCAGATTTCAGTTTTTAGACGACTTGAAAATTACTGCGAAGTAGATCTTTAGGTGGCATGAAATAAAAATTACCATTCTTTTTTTTCTATTAGGTTCTTCTATAATATATTGACAGTGTCCTGATAGTTTAGTGAAATCCATCCTGGGAAGGGAAAAAACGGAGAAATGATGGGTGAAATGCATTCTGCAGACCAGGTATTAGAGGTGGCCCCAGGCTTCATCAATCTGGATCTTAATTTGGTTCAGAACAGCCCATGGTCAACAAGGGGTGGGTCAGCTTTTGCCCAGAGCCAGCAAAGCTCGAATGGGTTCAGTCCTACCATGTGGTTAATTCCCAAGGGATAAAACAGATATTAAACAAGATCAGAAATGTGGCTCAAGTGGTCTGGTCTAAAGCCGACTCCAGTCTTGCAATATCAGTCAAGGGCCTAACAGATTCAGAACAATCTTCTTTTTTCACTTCCTCCTAGCCTTGCCCATCTTTACTTGGAACAAATATTTGGAAAAGCACGTGGAGTTCCAAAAAGTGCAGTATTTGCTTCACTGTTGCACACACAAAAGTGTGAGGAGCATTTCAAAGCTACCTTCCTGGCCCTGTGACCCTGCGCTATCTGCCACACTCAACCGGCCTGTCCGCAATATTCCATCCAGTTTAACACTTGTGTGACTTGTTCTTGTTGCTGCTCCTCTCTGGAGCGCTCTCCTTCCCCTTCGCTTCCGGTTCCAGTCTTTTATATGTTTCTACACCTACTTTCCAACCCCCAGGACAGAAGGGATTGCTTCCTTGGCATCCTCAAGGCTCATAGTTTCTACTTGGAGCATTTCTGTCATACCGTCTGTTGTAGCTGCCGGGACAGGAGTTGTCTCCTGCAATGCCATGTGAACTCTCTGACAGCGGGACTAGTCCCTGCTTATCCCTCCTCCCCTCCCCACCCTCCTGCAGGATGCACTGAACCCTGCACACAGTAAGTGGGTAATAAATGTTTAACGACTAGTTGACCAAACCAATGTGTACGTGTGACAGAGAGACACAGAGACAGAGAGATATGGGAGAGCAAACAAGAGTGTGCACCGACACTGCCTGCACGCTTCATGTCCCTGGGTACGTATATAGCATTTTAGTGTTAACTTTCCTCATCAGTAAAACGGGATAACAAGATGACCAATCTCACAGACTTTTCTGTGAGAAATAGCTGAGACATGTGCAACGTTGGGCCCAGTTTCTTTCACATAGTAATTACTCAATAAATGTTAGCAGCTAATGTTACTGTTGCTGTTATGATGACTATATGGAGAGGAAGAGGTTATCGTGGGCAAGGCAATACAGAAGACACAAAGATGGCTGATACTTATTAAGCGTTCTGTTCTTGACAATATGAATTAACTTACTTAATTTTCACAGTAACTCAGTGGAAGTAATACTATCTGGGTGTGCCTGAGTAGCTCAGCCGGTTACGTGTCCGACCCTTGATTTCAGCTCGGGTCATGATCTCATGGTATGCGGGTTCAAGCCCTGCATCTGCACTGTCAGTGCGGAGCCGACTTGGGATTCCTTCCCTCCCTTTTTCTCTGCCCCTCCTCTGTGTACTATCTCTTCCTCTCTTTCAAAAATAAATAAATAAACATTAAAAACGAAGTAATATTATCTGCCCACTTCACTGAAGTAGAAACTGACCCATGAGTGGTTAAAATATAACAACAACAACAACAATAACACAATTTATCTAAATTTAAATAGTAAATTGGCAGAGCCAACATTCAAACTCATTCAGTCCAGCTCTTGCTCTTTAACTACTAAAGTTGAAAAGTATTTGAGACATATTTAATATGCAGCTGGCTTTTCAGTTTACAGGCTGCAGAACAGCTCAAGTGTATGTATCTATGAGAGTTTAGCTGTTGGTATCTGTTATGACCCAAAGCAAGGTCAGTGCCTGGTCATGAAGAATGTGATGCCATGAGATTCCAGAGAACACAGGCAAATGAATATTTAGAAGGACATCATTATTTCTCAATGCAGAGTGGGTCATTTCATGAACAAATGAATCAAGAGATACCTGTGAAAGTTCGGAAGTGGGGAAGAGTGGATGAGGAGGCCACATAGGAGTGGACAGTGACCAGAGATCTTTTCATGTCCTGAGAAAGCAATCCCATGGGGAACATGTGGTAAAGGAGCATGACTGTGTCACAGGCCCTGTCCCCTGGCAATAATGTTAGTAGATTCATAATGGGAGACAGAATCTGAGTCCATTAGAGGCCACTCATCTCTGAAGGTCCCTTTCTTCTTCTCTAAGGTGAACTCCACAGGTAATTTCCAGGGTATACCTGATATTGTCAAGAAATTAAAAGGAGACAGAAGTGAAGTCCCATTCCTACAACTCAAAGGTAAGAAAATGCATGAGAGAGACTGAAATTAAAAATGTGTCATGTAATGAAATGAAAACTTCAGGAAACAGTCTTAACGTAACTAAAGAATTAAGCATAAAGTATCTCTTTTCACAAATTATCCTTGGAGAAAGGTACTGCATGGATTGAATTCACAATTGAATAAACAAAGGCATCATTTTAAGAAAGAGAAAAAACTTGAAGGCACACTGTAGCTATCTAAGAACAAAGGCACTTTATTCTGTGAGCAATTAGGCAAGGAAATGAAATTTGATAAACTTTTGAAACAATAACCTCCATGCATTAGACCTTTCTAACTGGCTGTGTTTTTAAGCACTATCAAGTACTATATACAGACTAGGAAGCAAACGCCACAAATTATACACTAGTATTTTGCATTCTGGCACAATTCATTTTTTTAAATGTTTATTTATTTATTGTGTGAGAGAAAGAGAGACAGAGACAGAAAGAGTGAGTATGGAAGGCGCAGAGTGAGAGGAAGATACAGGGATTCCCAAGGAGGCTCCAGGCTATCAGCTCAGAGTCCAATGCGGGGCTCGAACCCATGAACCATGAAATCACAACCTAAGCAGAAACCAAGAGTCAGACACTTAACCTGACTGAGCCACCCAGGCACCACACAATTCATTCTTTACTTGGTTAATTGCCTGTTCACTGGACAAATATTTGTTAATACTAAAAGAGACACACAAGGAGCAAATGCTATAGTCTTGGATCTCTGGAAGCAGAAAGGCTGGGAGGGGAGGAGGAGGGATGAGCTGAGGAAAGGCCTGGGCCAGAACATGGCTGTTGGAGAGGGTGGAGAGGTACGGCGAGCCACATATCATGGCAGCAGAGATGGAAACCAAGGCTCCGAAGGTCAGGATTTTCCTGGCAAGGCGATGGGAACCAGGGAGGATGTTGGTGCAGTGCCTCAGGATTTGAGAAAGCAGCTCAGGTTTAGGCAGGTAAGTGGGTCAGAGATGCTAAAACAGATTAGAGAGGGACCTGGGGTCCGAGACCAGGTGGAGGCTGTTGGAATCACCTAGGTGTGGGGTGACAGGTGCTGGAAGGAAGACCCTGAATGAGAGGGAAGGCAGATAGGGAGGTATCTGGACAGAAGGAAGAACTAGTTAATTTTGGCGTTGGAGCTTCATTTCTGAAGAAGCAAAGAGAATATGTGTATTTCCGGTGTTTTGGATTGGGAGATTGAGGATATTGCTGATGGAAAGACGGCCATTTCAAAGGGAAGGAATGGCATATGGCTGTAGAAATTCACATGGAACATGATGCACTGGCCCTCACAGTGAGATATTTACTGGAGAGGTCACGAATGGCCAGGGGAAGATGAGAAATTTGTCTCATTCATTAAAAGAAGAAATGGCAAGTGAGAATAAAAGGGGTCCGGGGTAGGAGTGAGCATTATAAGGTGAGCAAGGAAGAAAGAGCCAGAGGAATTTAATTAGAGTTATTGAAAGAGATAGGAAGAACCCAATTTCTTCTGAATTAATAGGCAATACCTCTGTTTCCTTTTATGAAAAGAAATACAAGTATAACATCTTTTGGGAAGCATACATCCTGTATCTACAAGACAGATCATAGATAGATGAGAGATCATGAAAGCTTAGAACTGGAAGAATCCTTATCTATTGATACACAAGGGTCTATTCTTTAGAGCTCTCCCAGATGGGCAAAAAACTGCCATCTGTTCCTTAAATACTCAGAATCCAGTTTACAGTATTCCTCAGTGAAAGCATGTCAGAAGAAATTAGAAAATGTCTTTTTTTTAAAAAAATACATGCTCTGTGAGGACAGGGACACATCTTTCTTTTCCTCCTACAT